TTTAATATATAATCAAACATATATATATTTAGCTTTTCAGAAATATTCAGTAGGTTTACTATGACAAAACTGGTAGCATATATTCATAATTTCCATAGATAAAATTATTTGGATTTGCTTTGAAAACAATTTAATCCATGAATTTAAGCAAAACTTTGTTGTTCATTTGATTCATTTAAATTTCTAGATTGTGTGTAAATTTAATGCGCATAGTTTTATGTCATTCAATCATAAAAAAATCATTCAAAATTTTTCTTTCACAGAAGTAAATATTCAGATTTTCATATGCAATCACATTATTGATATATTTCAAACTTGAAAAGAGTATTCTGATTATATAAGCAGAATTTCTTCACATTTTGTTTTATATTTAAATGTGATTGCACTTCTAAATGAGCGATCTTGGAACGCTGATTGTATAAATATTTGTACAACTTTTTTTTGATTTGTTTGGCTATATTTTAAGTCATTACCAAATGAATGGAGCAACAAACAATTATATTCATGTCTCATAATTTTATTTCTGATTTTTATTCTTTTTTTGTTATATTCCATCATATAAAAAATAATGCTTATCAAATAGGTATGAATATTGATCATATTTAATTTATATTTTTATGTCTAACTTTATTGATCACATATATTATTCCATTTAAGTTGATACCAATACTTTGTATATATAACAAGCTCTAAACCTAATAATCTAATTGTTGGAGATTTCTTTCAATTAAATCACCTACTTGCATTTCAACAACATTTCAATATTCTTGTTATAATCTCAACATTTTAATTTTTTGGTGTATTTTTGTTTGAGCTGATGGTTTATTTTGCATACCTTTTGTCGCAACCACTTGCCAACAATAGATTTTTGAGATAAATTCAAACATTAAAAATTTTCATTGTTTTAAAAAATGATTTCATACATTTTTTTATAGGTAATTTGCAATTTCTTTAGCAATTTCTAGTCTATATTTTCTCCATTCATTTAGTCTCCTTGTATGAACATGTGTGTGAGTAATCAAATAAGTTTTACTCAATCAAATTGTTTTCATTTTTCATATAGAGCAGTTTTTAAAAGAACTTGCTTAAAAGAATCTATGGAATTTTTTTTAAATTTTTATAAAGGTGTATGATAATCAAATTTATGCAATTTAAGTGAATTAGTTTGTTTTATTTTTTTAAGTTGATAAAAAATTTGAAAAAAAAATTATATGTGAAGAATCAAGTTACCCTTACAAATTTGATGATGAACAATTTTACATGTGAAAAGAGTTTTAAGTTGATGATTGCACATATTTATGCCATAATCTTGCATACAACATTAACAATCAAAATTTTTTAATTGCAAAAATATCTAATAATCATCAACTTATTTTGTTAACATTGGATAAAAATGTAAGCATAGATACAAATTTTCACGTGATGAAATGAAAATATTGAAAAGTAAAATTAATGATGTCCAAATATTATGATGAACAAGATGATTCAATTGTATTTCTTAACTATTTAGTAATTTAATTTATAATATGCACTATAATAAATGCAATTGCATGCAAATTTTTTTTATGATAATTCAAACTAAGTAGATAATATAACACATAATCATACATGCTTATATCAGTTAGTCGCCTAAATGATTTGAATTCACTCAATTTAGTTTCATAAAAAATGTTAATTTAGGCCGTAAGAGAATTCAATGTGAATTCAGTGAAAAATGATATAGCTTAAGCAACATATCTTCTTTAGTTTGTCAATCGCATGAAGTAGGGATGGAAGTTTTTCACTATATGGCGTCAGCAGCACTTTCGCCTTTGAAGTTATCTCATTTTAGATCTGGTAGTGGTGATGCATATTTGCACATTGACTGCATGCTTATCGTCGCTAGTTATAATTCTGTATGTGCGAACCTTGACTTAAAATCAATGATTTGAAGTTGTTAATAATCAAATTTTGTTGTAGAGTAGTTTCAATAAACACAAATAGTGAACGATGTCCTTAAAGATGCGGTGGAAAATACGAGCATTGATTTTTTGCCAATTAATAAAAAGAATGTTACAAATAGTAAGTTCCACCTGGCTTAAAAAATTGTTGTATCGAATGCAGTTGTATGAAATAATTACTTGTTATGAATCTCTACTGTTTCATGGAAAAGCTAGTGTGTAGTTTAACTCATAGATGCCAAATTTCTTTTTAGTGTATACATTTGTTTAATCTATATTTATGTCCAACAAAATTACTCTTTTCAGCATCTTTTGAAACAATAGAAAATGATGAATAGAGACTTCTATCAACGATCTTGATTGCTATTCTTTAGGTTTTGGATAGATAATTCAAATTGGATTACAGTTAAGACTCTATTTGCTGGTTTCAAGTTAATATTTTGGAAATGAAGAGTCTATAAAATATTTTTCAACAAATGTTGTCAAATTTTAAGTAAAATTGTAGTTAAAAGGAACCCAATATGTAAACTAATATTGAAATCATGGCCAATCTCTAACCTAGCCTGTTCCAAGCTTGTACTTGTGCGGCTTCTTCATTCCTCAAGTGGTAGGAGACAACTTGCTCGCAACTTTTGTCATCAAATGCTTGTGATGTGTTTTACCTTCACTGGACTTGCAAATTGTTTGATAAGTTCAAACAATCAAAATCAATTGCAGTTACAACACAGAGATAACATGATTCATTTTTCACAAACTACGTCCACGGTCAAGAGTAAAAATTTCACCAAAGCACAAGTGTATACAAGGCTTCCATAGCCAAGCTAAACTCCTCCATGCTCACTCTCAAAGTGTAATTTTAAACTGTACGTAGTAAATGACTACTTCTCTTGTATATACATTAAGATATTAGATGCACATCTTAGCTAATCTAACCACAATTAACTTCTCTAACCATGGAAATCGCTAAAGAGAGTTAATCCAAGATAGAGTTAAAGTAACACAAGTCATCTCCAAGAATCTACCGTTAAACACCATACATGGAAGGTTGAAAGTCAAAACATGTGAAATCAAAATTCTCATTATTAGAGAATTCATTTAGATGACATCTCCTTATTCGCTGTCCACCCACGTTAATTTAGTTGCCCAATTTAGACTTAATTTATGCGCTTCTACATACAGCCTAAACTAAGCATAACTGCACATATATCATCATCAAAATACTATTGATAGTTGAAACATATTATAATCTCTTTTAATTTTGTTCATTGTTCGATGTGATAAAATTATTAAATTTTCTCATTTTTTATTTCAAAAAATAAATTTAGAAGCTATAAATAACTTATACTTAGCTGTGAAAATAATGATATGAATAAATAAATAAATACATTTCAATCAAAATGTGATAAAAATCGTGACATTGGCAAACATGTGCTATGAACGGATCATTAGAGTGAGATTTTCTCATCTTTGATTTATATAAAATATAAACTTGATGTTAGATTGTCAATCATAAATCTCTTCTGCGTATATACATAATTCTTCAGCGAAAATTTTCATAATAGGCTTGAATACAACTGGTTTAACTACACTGTTGAATATAATTACATACTTTAGGGTTTGTAACATTTATACACCTCTCACGTGTAATTTCATTCACCGAGAATTAAGTGTTATATTGATCAATGACTACATGCGTTTAACCGTGAAAGATGGTTTGAATAGGTACACAAACTCCTTACGACAATAACGAATTTGATTCAATATTATTCAGAAATTACCTGTTTGGAATACGAGTCATTTATGCGGTACATGTATTAGTGGTACTTTTGTTAGTAACGTTCCAATGCTTAGAGCCATCCTTCCACTATAATATCATTGTTTTCTTCTACTCTCATGTCATAGGTTTACTTCTTTCTTTCGCCATACTTATTCTTCAATCAAAGTAATGATGCTACAAGACAAGTCCACTGTGATTCTATTTCAACCTATCACGATCTTTACATTTCCTCTCTCTAAATCAAGGAGAGCCTGAGGCGCTAAATCAAACAAAGTTGCTCCAAACATTGATCGACGTTCATTCCTACTCGATTGCCGAACATTCTATCACATGATTCAAAAACATTTCTTCAAGCACATGGTTGATGCGATCCTTCGCTCACCGAACAACACTGTTCATTTCAATTGATTGGAATTAACACTCCTGATTGGATGGGGGAGTGGACTAGCTACAGATTTTATAAATATCTTCGCTTGAAGCACTATACCAAAAACTCATTAATCCACATCGGGAAAGATTCGTTGAGTTATTTATTGTGTTTACTTGTCTCAAGCATCAAGCGTAGAAACCCAAGGGCTCTAGGATTCAGATCAAATGGATTTGCTGGAAGAAGGTTGGAACAAGGTGCAGTGAAGCGGATGTCGTCATACATTTGGTATCAAGGACCGTTGTAGTGAATAGTCTTGAGAAACATCATGTTTCATCGAATCTTCCCCGAGGTCTCTTGAGGTGGTGTGCTAAAGCTCTTTGATAGCCCACCTTCATAGACCTCGGGGAGATTCCATGAGGCATGATGTTTCTCAGAACTATTCACTACTTCAGTTTGTTCGACTGGATCTATTTAAACCCAAATCGAGCCATTGTCACTAAACTTCGGAGATAGAGCTAAGGGCTGGATGGAAGATGATCGAAGCACCCCGGGACGAAAGAGATGCAAGCCGGAAAGTCTGACCGGGCAGGCTCGCACCACTTCATCCAGTAGCTGAGTTTGATCCCCACAAGCTCATCTGCCAGTCTAGTTCACAGTGCAAGGTGAGTGAAGGATAGCTCAGTGGATCTGGATCTGTAACTACACAGAGGGCACGTGCTCAGGAAGAGAGAAGAGACGGGGCTCGTTGAGTCCACTTCTCGAAGTTTTAGTTCCTAGAAAGATCAGAAGGCCTTGCGTACAATCCATCACAAGCTGTCAACAGCAGATTCACAACGTGGTCCGCGGTTTAAGACAAGATTCTGCGAAAGCGTGAGCAGAATGGACGGTGAAGTGCAGAGAAGGAGTCGAGATTTGGCCAATGAGATACAACTCGATCCGATTACAAGAATCCAACAACTGAATCACACTCGACAGAGCGATACAAATGAAGAATCCGCTGGGTTTGTCCTGTCTCGTCGATCACCTCTTTACCTCGGTGATATATTTACTCTCGCCTACATTTACTGCTCTCGTTTACAATCTGGCTGAGCTAGCTACTGAAGCTAGCTAGAGCTGGAGCTGCGCACGCCCGCGCGAAGTTACTGCCTGCTACGTGGTACGAGGTTACATGAACCGGGAGCCGGGGGAGGCTGCTTGCACGTGTCGTGGTTAAACCTTGAAGTCCGAATCCGTGTGCGGGGACATCGATCGATGGATCTGCTCGTATTTCTAAGAGGGGAGGAGGGGGGGAAAATTACATGAAGTACGAGAGGTCCGAGACGTGACCCATGCAGTTGCGCAGCACGTCGAGGGAGGCGGCCGTGACCTTGAGCACGGACTTGACGTGGTCGGCCGAGAAGTCCTCGCCGCGGCTCTTGGCCCAGGTCTGCGCGGTCTGGATGATGTTGCGGATGGAGCGGCCGTTGAGGTCCTCCTCGGCGGCCTCCGCGACGAACTCGTCGGTCACGCCGGGCACCTGCGCCCGCGTCAGGAGCTTCTTCCAGACGAGCTCGCGCGGGTGCGTCTCGAGCTTCTTGTAGTTGAGGAACATGGAGATTCGCGACAGGAAGGCCTCGTCGAAGGTGGTGACGCGGTTGGTGGTCAGGAACAGCACGCCGCGGTAGTACTCGAGCAGGCGCAGGAACACGCCGGTCATGGCGTTCCGGAACACGTCGGACGCCTTGCGGCTCTCCAGGTACACGTCGGCCTCGTCCAGCAGCAGCACGGCGCGCCAGGAGGCCGCGATGTCCAGCACCTTGACCAGCGTGGCCTCCAGCATGGCGGCCGAGGTGCCGAGCTCCGACACGCTCAGCGCCCAGAGCGGGCGCTTGAGCTCCTCGGCGATGGACTCGGCCGTCAGCGTCTTGCCGGTGCCCGGCGGCCCGTAGCAGAGGAAGATGCAGCCCTCGCCCTTGTTGCTGATGGGGTCGATGTGCGCCGGCGCCGGCGCGGCGGCGGCGGGCGGCGGCGGCGCCAGGTACTGCGACACCAGGTTGTACATGAGCTGCTTCTCGTCGCCGTCCATGACCAGGCTCTCGAAGGCGCCGGCGTTGAAGACGATGTCGCAGATGCCCGAGACGGCGAACATGCCCCACTGCTTCTGGCTGAACGAGAAGCCGTAGACGATGGCCGGCGCGAACACGAGGTTGGCATCGGCCATGTGGTCGCAGGTGGTGATCTGGTTGCCGCGCAGCACGCCGGTCAGCGGCTGCGCGTTGCCCATCGGGTAGTTGGGGTTCATCTTGGCGAAGCTGGCCAGGTCGATCATGACGCGGCCGTCCGCGTTGCACGAGAACAGCTGCCAGCACCCGTTCTCCTTGCGGTAGTGGACCAGCGGGCCGCGGTAGTGCATGTACACGAAGTTCTGGCGCATGACGAGGCTGCAGAACTTGCGCCCGTTGGCCAGGCAGGTGGCCTCCAGCGTGGCGGAGTGCTCCGCGAACTCCAGCGGGCACACGTCCAGCTTCTGCAGCTCCTGCTCGCCCTCGAACTCGTCGATCTCCTTGGTGATGTTGCACTTGCGGTAGCTCTGCCCGTTGTAGTCGTACACGTCGAGCACCACGTCGAACTTCGAGTACTTGCGGAACGAGTTGTAGTTGAAGTTGGTGCTCTTGACCTGCGCCAGCAGCTGCTCCTTGGACACCTTGCAGTTGTAGGCCACCTTGGCGCCCGGCGGGAAGAAGACCCACAGCATGTCCCACGGCGCCTGGCGCTCGTCGCGCATGCGCTCCATGCGCACCGTGACGTCGTTGTACTCCTTCTTCATGAACCGGATCAGGTGCGCCAGGTGCAGCTGCGCCGTCTCCAGCTCCATCAGCGCGCCGGCGCCAGTCCCAGCCACCGGCTCCGGCGGGTCCACGTCCTCCGCCGTCAGCTCGTACGCCACCAGCTGGTCCAGCACCAGGTACAGCTCCTTGCCCAGCACCGCCGGCTTGTCCACGTACTGCAGGTCCTTCTTCGACGGCAGCAGCTTCTGCACCACGCGCACCAGCACCGGCGAGCTCAGGTTGATCGACACCACGTCCGGCCACTGCTGGTGCGGCTTGCGCTTGTACACCACCTGGAACGGGCTGTTGTTCGCGTCCGGCGTCGCCGTGCGCTCCTTCAGCTTCGGCGGCCCGCTCTTCTCCGCGTACTCGTCGAAGCTCGGCCACTGCCAGTCCGGGTCCGACACCGGCTTCTCCGGTACAGCCGGTTTCGCATCTGCACGCACATCATCAGCTCATCAGCTCATCAGCTCATCGGGGCCTCGCATTTCCTCTCATTGTGCAGCCCGCAAGGCCGCAGAGCAGCGGCGGAGGCGATCGATCGGTTGAGACTGGGGCTTTCGATCGAAGCTGTCGACATCATGCGAGAGCTGACTGACGGACAAGCATTTTTTATTAGAATCGCGAGTCATGGAATCGGAGTGCGGCTGGAGGGGCCGTTGCAATTCTGCCGAGGAGGGGCGGACCGGAAGAATGCAGTGATCAGAGCAAGCATTGGAGCGAGCGTTTCGTTGCGTGGGGAGGGGATGGACTCACCGGCAGCAGGGACTTCGGGTTTGGCAGCGGGAGCCGGGGCTGCAGGCGCTGCAGGAGTGGTCGCACTGCTGCGCCTGGATTTGGACTTGGGAGGAGGAGGGGCTCCGGAGGGAAGCGCCAAGCAGCGCCTGACGTCAAGCTTGCTTTCGGATTTGATGGACTGCAAAGACTCGTACATGCTCCACGTCGAGCGAGCCACGCTTTTCACCCCTTGTTTGATGAATTCCTCGGCCCTGTTTGCGGACATGGAGAAGGTGGTTTGAATCAGAACGCACAGGGGTTTCTGACCCAGAAAACTCTGAATGCAAGTCCTGAAAATTGCACAATTGTCAAATTCCCATCGATTCAGCAGCCCCAGATTGCAAGAGTGTACCTGCTCGGTAGGAGTTGCAGCAGACAGATGGCCAAGCCGGGGACGATCCATGCGCAGCCAGCGTAATTGAAGTTTAGGTTCAGAATTGACGGTCGTGCCAAAACCCACATGCCTTTCGCGACACAAATGATCATAATGGCCGCCGGAATCCAGTCCCGAATAGCTGCAGCAAGGGTAGAATCGATCGTCAGAATTCCGCTGCAGCACAGCCACTAATTTCGAGAACGGCCTCTGACTGCGTCAAAACATCGTGAAGTTGCAAAACCGGGCTGGGACCGATTGTGCATCAAATTGGGGCGTGGTCCTGGTCAATCAAGTTCTGAACTTGATTGAACCTGGACTCTGGGAGGAACATTGCATGTCAAACTAGTGGCAATATTAATCGCGTCAACGAGGTCAATACCTGTCCGTAATTGCACGTCTTGGATACTCGCAGCGGCGCTGACGACGTCTACGTAGTGGCCATCGACCTTCACTCTCTTCGAGGCGTACACGAAAACTTCATCAAGGTTGCGCATGGGCAGCGGCTCCATGCAGCTCAGAATCTCCAGTCCTCCCGGGCTCTGTACATCGGACACCGGGTAAGTTTCTAGCCGTCAGCAACGGAATGTATCGTCAGCAGGACCGCATTGCTGCAAGGATTGATCCAGATTCTGTTGAACTCAGTTCCAGCATTGAATTCTCTTTATTTCATGCGGATATGGACAGGACAGGACACGACGGGGAAGACCGGACTCGCTCGGTTTATGCAAGCAAAAGGATAGGCTAGAGCCGACACGGCGTTGGCGCCATAGAAAGTCAGGCAGCTGAGGCTCGCTTGCTGTCGGAGAAGGAAGTTTCCAGGAGAAGGCTGCCAGAATGTTCAGACTGGAAGCGTTTCAGCCCGACGAGGTCGGGCTTCTGATAGAACTATGTATCGACTCTCTTCTCTGAGCACTTCACGTCGTAATATCCGCCTGATTTGTCGATAAAATCGACGGTCATTCACACCGAAAGGCTATGCACGAGCACAATTGCAAGCGATGAATGCAATGTAGACAGTAAAAGAGACATGAGGCTGATTCACCTTCTCTCGACCTGTAACTTTCAGCACGACGGTCCTCCTCCTGGAAGTTGCCTTCAGCTTTGCGCCCTCCAAGTGAAGTCCTTTGATACAGCTCAGGACTCCTGGCACACAAAGGAAGGGAATTAGATCCCTGTCACAAACAAAAAGGAAACCAGTTCGGACCAGAGTGATGGTTTCCAGAGAAGACATAACACGTGGCAGTTTATGTGATTTCCATGTGTTAGACGCACAAACTCACAAATGGAGGCTACGCAAAAAGAGGCGTTACCAGCGGTGCTCTCAGCATGAGTGATGGTGGGCACGGAGATGTCATCGAGCTTCAGCATCTGTACGCCGTTCTCTGTCAAAAATATGCCATAGTGGGAGTCAGAAGTGCCACAAAGGCGAGGGGACGAAAGGAAGGAAGAGAACACGAGTTGACCGAACAGAGAGCTTCGGAGCAAAGCTGAGAGTTCTACAGGTGCGAAAACGAAACGGAACGGAACGTAGTGCAGAACTTACGACCTAGACACAATTACGTCTGTCTGCCTGCCTGCCATCCTGACTGCCTGCGTGTGCGCAAAGGACAAAGCCTAGCAGATATGTAATCGTAACTTGAAGAAACAACAACAACAGCAAACAGGAGAGGGTGGCAACCCTGAGACAAGCATGTCCTGAAATTATAGACCTACATCCTGTCGGATCGCCACAGTTCTGGCCACTCTTCCCCCAGAATAAGTCTCCACTTCGTAAGCAATTCGGAACAGGTCACCAGTTTCAGCGCCGGGGTATCAAATCTCTAGGGCCACACACATCCCCACATAAGACTTTCCATAAACACCTCTAGAATGGGAAAAGTCTTGCCGGTTGAATCCTCTTGTTGTCTACGGAACAGAGCACCTAGAAATCTCTCTCTCCACACGAATCGAATCCGCTCACCTGTATTCTTGAAGACGACACACCCATCCAGCTGCAGAGTGCAATCCTTATCAATTTTCGCTGCCTCAATCACCACATTCTTGAGATTTTCCATGAGATCAGAGCGCACGATGACGTGCGTCTGCAGGATTCTCCTGGACCCTTGAATCAGATTCACCACATCCCCAGCTCCAGCTGCTCCCGAAGCTCGCAGTTTCCTCGTCCTTTCTAGGACGGGCCACAGCTCGCCCGTCACATGGAGCTTGTACGACAATGATAGGCTGATAAGCGCTCGTCTCGGCACTTGGTCCTCCAGGCCCTCGACCAGCAAGGGCGTCGTGTACTCGTCTGGGCTATCGGCGTCCTTCTCGTCCACCACGGCCGAGCTCGAGTCGACGGAGCTGGGGGCGTCGCCGGTCGCAGCAGCAGCATTGGCATCCTCTTTGCCGCTGCTGCATCCGCTGCTATTGCATTTGCACTTGTGCTGCGCAGTCGAGGCGGTGATGGTGTCTTGATACTTGGCGACCACTTTGTTCAGAGTGATGATTTGATTCGCAGCCGCCGCCAGGTGAGCTTGCACAATCCTGTCGTTCGTCCACGTCTGAAAGTAGCGCTTCCACAGAAAGGCCAGCAGCACGCCCAGAGCCGTCTTCAGAAACCAGTCGTCGGCGATGTGCAGGCAGAAGGCGCCCACCACCGTGCTCGTCAGCAGGTCGTTGGCAACATTGGCCACCCGCCACACCCCCTTGATCTCAGATTCCGTTTCGAACTCCATCGAGGCGTTCGCTTCGCTTCACATCCGTTTCACGTGCATCGATTTGCTCGACCTCGCCCTCTCCTTCGTTCTCCACGACGCTTCAGACTCGTTCTCGTTCTCGTTCTCGTTGCGAGGCAGGAACGACAGTAGCGACAGCACCTCGAGAACTGGACAGCATGCTCTTGCGCGCTCGAGCGCGCTCGCTCACTCACTCGCTCATTCACTCATTCACTCACTCACTCACTCGTCCGTCAATTGGCCAAGGAGAGGGAGGAGCATGGACTGTGACAGAGAGAGGAGATGAGAGGGAGAGAGCGAGCGAGCGAGGGAGGGAGGCAGGCAGCGATGGATGGAGGGGCCTGTACAAGACGCAAGTGAGAGAAGAGGCGCTGTGCGACCGATCTTTGTCCCAGCCTTGAGGAGCAAGCGAGTGGCATTGTCCTTCACTCCACTGCGCTCCGTGGGGTCCACGTGCTTGACTCAATGACTTCAGGAGGACTAGGCGCACAGATGCTCTCGCGCCCTGTCTCAGAAGTCTTCGATCCTCGCTCACATCCATCGCCCGCACTTGCCGAGCCCCGCAGCCCCGGTCCGACCCAGCGCGACCGACCACCCCTTGCTCTCCGAGCCCTGACTGAACGGGCGCCGAGAGCGAGACACGACGATGCCATGCTAGACCTTCTTTCCCGCCTGCTTGCCTGAACGGGAAAAGTGTTCCCTTTTCATTTCCCCTTTTCTGGCTTTATTTGCATATTTATATAAATATTTATATGAATATAAGTTTATATATACGTAATGATGCACAGGCCGTTCTTCGATAAGTAGGAATATGTCCTTCAGATCAAGGACGGGGCCATACACTCGCTCGTAGGTAGACGACGTCGTAGTACTCGTCCTGCTAACTTACTTGTGCCGGGCACGGATCAGAACTATAGTTTGTGGACAGGTCTCGAACGTGATCCAGAAGATGGTTCAGAATGGCAGAGACGAAAGCTGCCATGTGAGAAGCATGGAACTGTCCGAATCTGATAGTTTTCTCAGTCGAGGAGACCGGTGCCGAAAGGATCCAAGGGCCAAGGGCAGGCAGGTGGGCCGGCTGGCCGTATGGCTGCAGGAGTGTATTCAGGCATGTACATGTGTGTGCGGGTTTATACGGAGTACACGAGGTAGAGGATAAATAATCGCAACATAGAGGGAGCCTGGTTCTGCTTTTGGCGTGGGGGGTGAGCCCGAAAAGTGAGCAACTGCTTCGAGACTGATGCCACCAGTTCGCATCCTTTTTGCACTGGAGTGTTTAAGAATCCATCGCTTCTGCGGGACGAAGCTGCAGGGAACGATCGGTTTGGAGGGCCCCGATCACGTGGACCCGACGTCCAGCGTAGACGGTTTGGGAGCCATGGTGGTGGTGGTGCTGCTGCAGCTGCTACTGCTGCTGGCTGGCATGGCGTGGCTCGGCTCCATTCGAGCTAAGAGAAACTGTTTCGGAGCGTGAATTATTCAATCAGAGACCAGAGCGGACCAGACGGAGCCTCCACCCCTCCCCTCCCTCCCTCCATGCGAGCAACGACAGGAGGCACAAAGAAAGCAGCGACCGGAGACGAAACTTCGTAGTTCATGTTGGGGGCGAATTTTCTCGCTTGCACCCTGCGGCGTCCGGTCGTTCACTCATTCACTGATCCATGCTCGATCATGGGTATCCGTGCCATGCAAGGGCCTTTTATCCCTCATGCCACTGCATCGAGTACTGTCCTGCACAGATGGCAATGTTGTTCTCGCAACCCTGTCTGTTTCAGTTCCGGTTGATTCTTTCCTTTGTCCTCAATCAACTCTCGCCTGTTGACTCGTCCACTCTTTGACTCCCCCCTCACTGTTCTCTTATTCTGTCCTCCCCCATCCCCATTCGCTTTTGCCCATTACTATCTAGCTCCCCATGGCCCATAATCCCGAAATTTGCCCCGTAAACTCCTTCGGGCATGAGCATCCTTCTCAACAGATCTCTTAATTGCTCGCACGCAGTCAATCGTACGAGGTTTAGCTACACAGTCACCCGAGTTCCAGGTTTCGGTGAGCACCGAAGCGAAGGCGGAACCTTTCCCTTGCCCTTGGACTGGCGTTCATGTGGAAAGGGGCAGCACATGCGCCCATCGACAGACAGTTACACTCGCCGCTGGTGGGATCTACCGTTACAGTACCGTAGTAGCGATCGAATCTGCGGCAGAATTATTTCGCCGGACACACCAACATCATCGATTTATGCTTTTGTCCCCGCCAAGGACTGGATCACGTCGAGGTACATGATGATTGTTAATTACTATCCTTACGGAAAAAGGTTAAATATCCTTCGAAGATGATGATTAAGTAAATCTACTGTTCCGTTCCTGCGCATGGGAGTGGCCTCGGAGCAAAGCGCATTCTGATCAATGGGCGGCAAGATCACACACCCAGTCAAAAGCCCACCAAATCAAAAGATCACCCATTATGTGCAAAAGTGGTGCAGATGCAGGTGCAGTTGCTGCTGCGTGTGTGCAATCAGAACCAGGGTGGAGCAGACTCCACAGTGGTATCAGATCCCGATGGATTCCCGTAGATTCCCCCAAGTGTGATCATGATGATGGTGGGAGACTCGGATGCGGGTGGTTTAGAACTCTGCATGAGATTAGCACACGGATCGTCTTGTCATAAGGTAGGACGACCACGTCTAAACCATGGCTGCAGACGAGTGAATGAGTGCTCGATATTAGAGTGAACCGAGGAGTCACGTAAAGTCAAAGATTCGAGAAATATCTAATGCGAGCAACATCCAGAACATGCTCACGAGACGAAGACGAAGATGTCCCCGGAGACACCGATGTCATCCGCGAGTACTTGCTCAGAAATGTGCTCAAGTCTGGTCTGGAATCGTTTTCGCTTCCAACAAAATCCGTTCGTCGTAGTGTGAAAGGTTGAGGTTTGACAAAACCGAACTCTCTGCTCCCGGGAAACATCGGCAGCCGCAGCAGTGGCACTGTCGACCCTAAAGCTCCACAGGAATCTTTTGGGGCGAAAGGTAGCCATAGCTAGGCCAGACGTGTGGAAGCGGCTGTGGAGTGAAAATGCTAGAGCACCAACCAGGCAGGCGTACATGAAATGTTTATGCCTGGCTCTGGCTCTGGCTCTGCTCTGCTCTGCCGTAGGTCAATTTGGCATCAGCGGATACCTTGCCTTCCGCTAGGGATGCCGGTCGTACGTACCCGCCACTGGGTGTGTAAACAGTGCCCATGCTCAGCTGGTTCATGATGAAGCCCCGGGATGCTTACGTGGTCAGATTATTCTTCTTTCCTGACTTCTTCCTTTCTTTCTTCCCTCAGCTCATGCTTATGGATAGATATATATCCTCGATGGGGGCTTCCCATGCTTTTGGCTGCATTACTTGGCTCCCATTTGTGATAAGCGTGGAGGGTGGGACTAGTGACTAAGCACGTTTGACCGAACTGGAGCACACCAATTACGACAGATAAAAATGGCCGATCTCTTCCACGGCTGAAGGTATTGGGGATCCGACTGTTTTTTTTGGCATGTTCTATCTTTGCAAAAACCATCGAGTTCACTACGTCTATACCCGTCCCGTGCCTTCCTCCCTTCACTGGTCTTCGATTGCCATTCAACCTTTTGGGTGACAATCTGAAACGACAAATGGTCGTCGCTGTAATGCAAGCAAGCTTTCGATATTTTATCGGTTTGCCAGTCTAAAAGCTGGAAGCCTGCAACTACATTGAATTATACGAAGGGACCAAAAAGCACAATGTTACAGGGAGCCACGGTGATAACGAGAACCGTGTAGAAATGAAACGACTAAAAGTATGTAATCCAGGACTTTGGTGCCACAATCATCTGCCAGGCTGATAATATGGGCCTGCAACTAATGTTTCATGTCATTTGTACTGTATTTAGCTGTTTACCTTTTCTTTTCTTTTAAGCCTCGAAATCGCATGACCAATCGTAAGACTAGGAGCCACGTTAAAGTTGAGACCTGGCACCCGTCTAGGACCAAAGCCTTTTAACACTGGTACCAAGGAACAGTGGATGGTCGAAACAAGAGGACAAAGCTACATCCGACTAAGTGTCCCTGCTCCCCAGTTGCTCCGAAAGTCTTTGGTTGAAATACTAGGGGTTTAGGGTCTGTCTATCAAAAGCATACAAAATTTTGTAGTATGAGTCAGTTCTTCACCTACTGATGGTTTCATAGGAAGGGGATCGATCCGAAGTGCTCAAAATCTGATCTCAAATCATGCCACGTTCTAGCAATTTCACGTTGAGGCGGTCGTGCTGAACCTCCTTTCCGACATACTGTATTCCGTTGCTTACTACCTCTTTCTACTTCACTTCACTTCACTTCACTTTAAGCATTGTATTGAAGGACTGCTATCTCTGAATCCAGAAGCACGTCACGTGCAACTTTTTAGAGGTGTGCTCGAGTAGCACACCTCTAAAACATTCGATCCACAGACGTCTCATCTCGAAGTTGCAATCAATGGCATACTTAACGACAATCCATTTCTGGGATTACGAGCAAAAGGCTGATACACCAAACAACAAAAGGTAGGTTCGACTCCGTGCTTTTGCTCCTACAATCAATGATAGATGCTTTTGTTATGAAGATTCTGCATTGACAGCGTCTCGAAATGAGGTTCTTCCTTAAAGTCGAGTCCATAACTGCTCCCGTCTCCAAGGAGTCTGGTGTGTTAAGGGTTTGTCCCAAGGGTCTAGATCTGTAAGCATTAGACGAGGGTCGAGGTTGGGCGCGTAGGACAATCTTTTGCGTAAACATGACATTTCAGGTATAGAGCTGACAAGATGAAAAAGCACCAGCTTCAGAAGTAAGGCACTCACTCACCTTAGCACCCAGAACCACCCACAGAGCATGCTGACAAATAAGTACTGGGGAAGGGGGGTAGGCCTGCTGCTGACACGCAAAAAGTCTGCCCACTTACCATTCGATAAGCTTCTGGGCAGCTTGATAATTGGCGCATGTGTAATGTATACTGACATGTCCACGGTAAGAAAGAAAAGAGAAAAGAAAGAAGAATTAGGAGACGAGGGGCATGCAGCAGCTCTCGTCTCACCCTCGCACTTCGGAGAACCTACCCCGCGTAGCCGCCCAGCTGCAGTGCCATACGCACGAGTCTCTCCGAAGATCAGAGCGATCGTATCCTACAAACCCTCCTCTTTCGAGTTCTGTAACAGTTCTGGCACTCCTTTCCAAGGACGTCATAGAGATGCATACTACAGTATGCATACTTTCTCTTTCTCTCTCTCTCTCTCTCTCTCGCCCCCCACTCTTGTCTTCATAGAGCTGCATACTACAGTACACATACCCTCTCACTCTCGGCCACCACCCTCGTCTTGCACACCCACACTCGGACCCAGCCGATCGATTACATTGTCACAGCAGGAAACTGCAATGTCCAGAACGAGGATCAGCGAGTCACTGCCGTGATAATTTTCAATAATTTACAATGATCTAACAAATGCTTGCGTACGGACTGATCAATACAGAAAAGGGCCACAATGATCACTCCCGTGAGAAGAGCCCAGAGCCGAAACGTCGCAGCTCGAAGGCATAAATTGTTGAAGAAAGCTTCCAGGTTCGTTTGGTTCGACTGTGTCCCCACTCGCGGAGCTGCTGCTCGTGCTGCTGCTGCTGCTGCTGTTGGGGCATTGGAGGCTGTTGGGGTGCGGTGGACCCTACAGCACATAGAGACGACGAGCATATTTCGTGCAGATAGATGTGAGATATGCAGAAGGAATAATATTCAGAGAGATTTGTGCAAAAGTTTTCATATCTCGTCGTCCGCAGCAAAGCGTGCCGCTATCCCACCGCTGCCGAGGTTGTTTCGGTGGCTCGGGGACTGCAAGCTCTTTGTCCAGAATTTTTTGCGCCTGTCTGATGGATACGCAGGTCTTGGTGGGGATAAGGTCCAGGTTGCAGGTAGGGAGTGGGCCGCCTCCTCGAAGGCGAGCTCATGCAGGTTCATATGCTTTTAACTCGAGGCGGAGGAAGTTGTAACAACTTTGGACAGATGAGCCCTCGCAGGTTTCAGCTGCTTCAAACTAGGTGGTCCCGTCTCAGCCCAGCCACAACCAAAAGAGCGAACAACATTCTCGCTTTACGTGTGTCGTTGCGAGCATCCTCCTTTGGCAACGAAGCCTTGCCAGTCTGTGACTCTTCTTGCACCTGCCAACTACGTACACCCTCCCCTCCCCTTCTCTTCTTCGCTCCCCTCCCCCCCTCGAGTCTCCATGGGCCCCATTCTCCCAAACGAGCACGGCAAAAAGCGTCCAGCCCTATCGGATTATGATCCACTCAGATCCCTCCTCTTCCTATGCTCGAGCTCCGTCCCCCCGTGAGCACATTCGTGGAGAGGCACAACCGAACGCCATGGACGCAGTATAGTACATTATCGACGGATTCATAGATAGGCAGGTAGATAGAGAGACAGACAGACAGACAGACAGATCAATAGATGTATGGGCTGCAGTCTCCACTTTCGCCATTCGTACCTGCTTGCTTGCCCGGCAACTCATCTTTCTGTTTCTGAAGGCGCCGAGAGTAACCGCCATCTCTGCTTCTTCACGTATTGTGCATTCCGCAGCATATGCAACCCTCCTCCCCACCACCTCGTGCGTGGGGCCGTCCTCCCCTCCCCCTCCCCCCTCCCCTCCCATTCCGCCACCACCTTCTTCTGGCTCCGAGTGTCAGTCAGCAGCGTACGTACGTCTGTCCATGAGGGCGTTCCCAGTAACGTCCCTAAAACAAACCCCCCCAAACCCCATCGTCCATATCCCTAGAGCGATCGCGATCACTTCGCGAACTCATGAAGGCGGAAACAGTTCGGACATTCCTTTCCTCTGTACACTAGACTAGCGCTAGCTCTGACTAGGCCGGCCGGCCGCGCGGCGTGCCACGTCCCCCGAGTCCAGATCCGCCTCGCCTCGCCTCCTGCCCTTCCCTTCCCTCCCCTCAGCCAGCAGCATCGCCACGTCGACTGCAGAGTCTGCAACACAGTACATCGGGTACCGTAAGTAGCTCAGCGACCACGTACGCTCTCGTGTCATGGCACTCTGGAAGAAAGCTCCGACTGCTCAGCACTGTGACTGCGAGCGAGGTGGGCGAATCTGCAGAGCTGGGTTGCAACCCGGAAACCCGAGCAATCATCAGACTGCACAACTTCGAACTACCACGTATGTCCACCGAACCGCGTATCCATGACCGACCGACGCCCGATGCCGGACTCGAGTAACTCTGAATAATCCAATTCATAAAGCTCAAATAAATTCGATATCGAACCCACCCATCGTACGTGGTGGCGCTACTGTGTACGCAGGAAACGGCCAGGGAACGGAGAAATAAAAACTACCGATCTAGGCCCCGATGGAATACGCTCATGGAATTATTATGAAGTATAATCATGAATAATTACAGTATAATACTGAAACCGTATCTGGTTCTCAGTACATAGAGTTCGAAGCTCATGCGCTCGAACCCACCCGCGAGGCGGCCTTGCCTAGGACATGAATAGGAGCATGATCCCAAGGCGAAGGTGTACCTGAGAGGACGGTAGGCCCCAGAGCCCCAGAGCCCCAGATTGCGGCGAAGATTTGTATTTCTGCTCCGTCTGTACCCTCGATCGCAGCAAAAGGTCGACGATTTGCAATACCGAGGGGTCCGCAATTGAAAGCGAGGGAGGGAGGGAGAGAGGGAGAGAGTGAGAGAGAGTGAGTGAGGTAGGAATTTCGACTAGCTTGCGGAACTTCTCCGTGAGGCAGCTTCTGAATCCGCAGAGATCGTTGAAGTTTCGCCACGGGCCAGAGCTCGTACGTAGATGGGTAAGTCGTTCGAGAAAGCCCCTGAGTGGGGCTTTCTCGTTACCAGCGGTTCTTGGCAAGGACGTGTGTGTATTACTTCCATCTGGATGCCTCCGGGAATGCTTTTGTCGCTGAATTACCCCTGCAGGCGGAGGGAAACTTTAAAAGTTGAGAAGCGGATTTAGTAGCGTCTGACTTGTCGACTGACCAAATCTGCATATCTTTACTTTGCAGCAAGAGATCGTAGAGAATCAGAGCAATCCGGAAGCAGAACTTTCAGGTGGATGTGTACATGGCCTGTTCTTAAATCTTGATCCATGTGAGGACGCTCAGGGTGAGTGAGTACTAGAAGGAAGGGCACGACAAATGTACGGCGTTATATATAAACGATCTGAACTGGAGTCGAAAAAATATAGAACAGGATGCATGAACATGCCGGGCGACCATGCGAACGGGAAGAAAGTGGAGGGTAAGTTTTCCATAAAAGGTGTTAGAAATGTCACTGTAATTTCGACTGTGTCTAAGAAACTAGTAATTTAGTTCCTGATATTATGCCACTCTACCTCTACGAGACAACCATCTAGATTGACCGGCATATCAAACTGTGCTAACATCGGTTTTCTCCTATTAGTGTTAATACTCATCTCCAGTACTGTATATTCTGTTTACGAGTCATCTTGCGGTATGGCTTGTTGAACAGCATATTACACGTCATTGCTCGTAATGTGACGAGCTGAACAACTTCTTAATCTACCTGGATATCTGTCACTTCACGCTGATGCTCTTTGGCACAGAAGCTGGAAACCAAAGCCAGACTGCATTTCGACCTTCCAAGACCTGATACAAGTGCGAGGGACCTGATCCATCTCCTAAGAAGGCACCAGAAAAGCTTCGTGTACTTCACCTAGATTCCGACCTGGTTGGGACTGCTAATCTTATTCATAAATGCTCATGACTAGCAGAAGTATACAGAGGGGAGTCATCAGTAGCCTTTTGATAATGTAATGCACAGCCTTACGCTCTTCATCACGGGACATCATTTGGCCCCTCATCCAGTGGCAAGGTGCTAAGATGGGGAAAATCAGAGAGATTGAAGAAAACAGTTAGCTTTTTCTTCGAAAGAAAAGTGCAGACCCGGAAAGGGGAGAATTTAGTTCTCAAGAGCATATTCTAGTTTTTGCGTGACCTTGTGATTCTGTAGAGCGACAAGGACTACGAGTTTTAGGGTTCTTCTAGTCGGGAGCAGAAATTCAACTTCATGTTGATTCTGTTGGATCCGACAATGGCTAAATCAGCCAGTCTTGGAAGGTACTTATTTCACTGATTTGAGTGATGATTGCACTTAAAGACACGTTGAACACGAAGGATCAGTTACGCTATGTGAGCTCAACCATCGATGAAGCCTGACATCTTTCGCGAAAGCATACAGTTCGGTGATGTTTCTCCTCCTAGCCTGAAATTTGCGTTAACGAGAAGCATTTCTCAAACTGGTTTAATTTGAGCTCCCAAGACTGCAGTGGTAGGGCGGACGGTGTCATGCACTAAATCATTCTCAATGATTTAGTGCATGACACCGTCCGCAGAAGCAGTGACATTTTGAGAATAGCCGCGATAGCGATCTTGTTGTTAGTCTGGTCCTGATCTCCCAGAAACGCCTCATCCTAGTACATGGAGCATATGTTCGAACATAGATACACAATCACAATCTCCTCGCTATACTCGAATGAGCTTCGTCAGACAGAAGATATGTACAATAGCTTGAAGGAAACTGCAATGGTACATAGCTCCTTACTTCGCTAATCTGATCCCATGGCCTTCTTCATGGTAAGTACATGCGATTTCACTTTCTGGTAGCTCCAAATTTGCAAGAGGCTGTAAAATCGAGACAACCACGCGTTTAGAAGCGTAGCACTTCTGACCAAACACGGTGCTGAAGTTGGAGGATGACCAAGTACTGGCATTTGCGAGTCAATACACAGGCCGAGCTTCCACTGACCTATTTATTCGATTAGGCCTTCAAATTGCTCCATGACGTGATGCTATTTAAGAAATATGCCAAGCTGAGAAAGCCGCTTTACATTCTGGATTCATTAGATTCATATCAAACGGCACAGAGGTAACAAAAAATGTATCAGATCGTAAACGCCTTAAAGTAACGGAGCGACTAACCGGTGCAGCGTACCTTAATGAAAATAACCCATCTACGGAGTTTTAGACTGCTTCGATGAGCGACGTACATGGCATTGTGCAGACCTTGTCCAGCAGATCAAGAATGAAACCACAAAGCTCACCCTCCAGCTATTAGTCTATCCAAGCCGGCCGGAAACGACTGAATTTCTTCCATGTCCACGTGCTTGCGATTGATCTTTACTTAAAATATAAAATGTCAGTCATTATTTCCTTCGTCCCCTCTTTTCTCTCAGTGACAATGTCACTGAGAGAAAAGATCAATGTCACTGTGACATTGATATCAACAAATCTCTCTCCCTTGCATCCCCCAACATTGACAGTTACTCACTGATATCAAGTTAATTCCGTATCCTACTTACAGAGTAAGAAAATGTATTTTCTTGTACTATTCGTTCAG